TGTGTGTGTGTCTGCGTATGACTGTCTGTGTGTGTGTCTGCGTATGACTGTCTGTGTGTGTGTCTGTGTATGACTGCGTGTGTCTGTGTGTGTGTCTGCGTATGACTGTGTGTGCCTGTGTGTGTGTGTCTGCGTATGACTGTGTGTGTCTGTGTGTGTGTCTGCGTATGACTGTGTGTGCGCATATAAGTCTGACCAGCCTGTATCTCTGTAAGATCTCTTCGTTGGCCAGCTGAAGAGCTCGCTGACCTGCTGCCAGTGTGGTTACTGCTCCACTGTGTTCGACCCATTCTGGGATCTGTCTCTGCCCATCGCCAAGGTGGGTGTCCCCGATGCCCGGCCACTAACGTCACATTCTGCACGTGGGCCGCCTCACCCCACTGACCTGTGTCCCGCCTCACCCCACTGCAGAAGGGCCATGGTGAGGTCAGTCTGATGGACTGCATGAGGCTCTTCACCAAGGAGGACGTGCTGGACGGAGACGAGAAACCGGTGGGTCCTGTGGCTCCGCCCACCCCATAGGGATTGGGCCATCCTTGGCCATGGAGGCCATTGGGTCGTCACCTGACCCTTTCTGTGCGCTCCCTCATGCCTTCCCCCGTTCCCTCCCCCATGCCCTCAACAGACGTGCTACAGGTGTAAGGCCAGGCGGAAATGCACGAAGAAATTCACCATCCAGCGGTTTCCCAAGATCCTGGTGCTGCGTATCCTTCTCTGCCTGTGTGCACACACTCGAACCCGTCGCTGGCGTGCACGCACGCATGTGGGCTTATCAACCTTAACTGACACCCTTTCCCAGATCTAAAACGGTTCTCCGAAGCTCGGATCAGAACCAGCAAGCTGTCCACGTTTGTCAGCTTCCCCCTGAAGGAGCTGGACCTCAGGGAGTTTGCGTCAGAGAACAGCAGTAAGTTGTAGTGTTTTTTTCACCCGTGTGGGGGGGCGGGGCAATGTCCGTGCTGATGTGTAAACCTGAGTCCCCCCCCCCACCCTATAGCCAATGCAGTTTACAACCTGTATGCAGTGTCCAATCACTCTGGCACCACCATGGGAGGTCACTACACAGCCTATTGCCGCAACCCTCCCTCTGGGGAGTGGTACACCTTCAACGACTCCAGGTAGGTCACCGCCTGGACGGAGTGTTTGCTGCTCTGGCCAGGGTCTCCGGGCAGGGCTACCAGGGCAGGGCTACCCGGGCAGGGCTACCCGGGCAGGGCTACCAGGGCAGGGCTACCAGGGCAGGACTACCCGGGCAGGGCTACCCGGGCAGGGCTACCCGGGCAGGGCTACCAGGGCAGGGCTACCAGGGCCATCCTACAGGACCCATGTGTCCAACTCAAGGCCCACCAAATGGTTTTGATATTCTGTTTAAAATGGCTCAGGAATAGGAGTGTGATGCAAGGGCATGACTTTGGTTTGAACATTGGAGGGGTTGAGGTCACTACCCATAACGGGGGAGATATGATTGGGTTCACGGTTTGGGTGCAGTTCTGCTACAGCAGGGAATACAGTAGAAACAATTGTCTGATGTGGACTTTTTTCAGAAACCAGGAACTTCTGTTGCTCTACCACAGGAACTCGCCACAACTGTAGTTCCTCTGAGGTAGTTCCTCTGAGGTAGTTCCTGAAGTGTACCTCTGGAGGAGGTACTTTTCGGTCATCCAGGAATGTCTGTGTTGAGCTTCTTGCGATGAACTTGCTAACCTACAAGCATTGCTTACCTGCTCACAACAGACCAGAACAAGTATGTGTGATTTTAGGATTTTAGAATAGTCCGCTAATGGTTTTCAAAGTTAGCAGAATTGCTAATCCACTATCAAAAAAGTTAGCTTCGCTTATTAGCCGATTAGCGGAACCCTGTCCATCACTGATCATTGTTTAGTTTTAGTTTTAAAAGAGAATTTTCAGGAATAATGTTTACTACAAAGTTCACATTTGTAAATGTTATTTATAAATAGTTAAGATTTCAACCAAATAACTGTGAAGTTTGCTGAATGCTGTTTTTAATTAAATAAATGAGCTTTGGGCAAACTCATAGGTGGTTTTCAATATGACAGAGTTTTACACCCCTGCTTTAGAGGGATAGTCAAATCTAGATTGTCCATCCATGTCATGCAGGTTAACGGTTGCTGATAAGGCTCCTTTCTCCCAGAATCCTCTGTCCCCCCATTCCAAATTTTATATCAGCTCGTTCTCTGAGTCCCGTTAGTTAAACTGGCATTCAGAGTATCATTTCCCTTCCTGCTTTTACATCTAAATATACTTAGCAGGTATTAAAATCCACATACAGTCAGCTTAGGTACAGACCAGACCATCAGGACTAGATTCCTGCTAAACAAGAGCGAAATACGAGAACTAATCATGTTGCCAAGATGGGCAAGGGACAGCTGATGAAGACGGGACAGAGCAGCGGTCCGAGAGGCGTATCTCGGGGTGATTCCTTGGCTGAGGGACTGTGGTCCAGGCGTTCCCTGGGCAGATGGGTCTCGGGTGATTCCTTGGCTGAGGGACTGTGGTCCAGGCGTTCCCTGGGCAGATGGGTCTCGGGTGATTCCTTGGCTGAGGGACTGTGCCGGCCTTGTGCGTGTAGCTTGGTCCACCGTCGAGTCACACATGATAAGCCTCTGGAGACTCGGGGTTATTTTCACATGGTGGAGGGATCAACAGCGGCGTGTCTGCGCTCCGGCTCCGGCCACCATGTCGCTCCATCTTTACTCCCACCAAAGCCGATCATGCAGCAGCACTTGTCACAAAAGAGGGGCGGCGTGAGATGGTCGTGGTGTAAGTCAGGGTGTGGGGGGGCCCAGCTTCACTGCTGTTCTCTCCCCCTAGAGTGACGCCAATGTCCTCCAGCCAAGTGCGCGGCAGCGATGCCTACGTGCTGTTTTACGAGCTGGCGACCTCCTCGCGGATGTGAGATCCCCACCCCGGATGAGCTGGGGGAGAATGGGCAGGAGCCCGGCCCAATGGAACTGCTGACAGAGATAGGGGGGCGGAGCCCAGCATCTGATGTCAGCGAGAGAGAGGTTGCCTCCGCCCAAATGCCCGGCAAGTCCAAGAGGGACATTCTGCAGGGATCCTGAGCTGCCCCCCACTTACTCAGTCATACTCACTCAGCCTGGGTGCAGTGGGGGCGGGGGTCTGCCTGTGTGTGAGGCAGGGATGACACCGTGGGAAGGTCCGAGGCCGGCCGTCTGTGCACCGCACCTGCAGCCTCAGCTCTCCCCTTAAATGCGCCTTTCTGTTCAGGATTGTCAGTCTCAAAAAAAAAAAAAAGACTCGTCACACTTGATTTTCCTTTTGCATTTTTCTTGTTGGTTTTTTATTTATAATCTCCCTGCTCCTGGAAGATGGTCAGGTTTGTGGCGCCCCCTGCTGGGGATATTAGACAATTTAAGTTGCCTCTGAGCTTCAGGTTTTGGGTTTTGAAGAGCATGCGGCTCACCGTCGCCCCATTCGCCACACTCCATCCCATCACTTTCCCTTCACTCCCACAAGGTGGCGCTGTGCATTCTATTCATTAGGTTGTCCTATAACAGTTTTATCTGTGTGGCTGCTATTGATTACTGATGTTTTTAAAATGCTGTGAAAATGACAATCTAAGGTACACTAAAATAATGCTGACAGTATGAATTTAACATGCCATTGAACAACATGGAAAAGAATGTTTTGGAAACAGCATAAATGTATATTTTTATATTGTGATGCAATATAGAGAATGTAGGACACTGTGGTGCTGAAATGACCCATTACTGTTTTCAGTTAAATTAACAGGCGTAAGAGAGACTTTTATTTATGCTGACTGGTGATAAAGTGATGTCACTTTTTAACCATGGCTGTTAAAAAAAAATATATATATATATATATTATATATAAATTATATATTTATATATATTATATATATAAAACGAATAAACTTTTAAAACAATCTTTGCTGTGTTGCATTGAAGCCTTAGTGTAGGTGTGGACGTGATATAACGCTCCTGTGGTGGCGGACATGTCGATTCTACCGCTGAAACTGGAGGAACTGACAGGTGAGCTTTGAAAGTTAAACCTGGTGGAACAGCGCTGTGTCCCATACCAAGGAGCCCCGATAACCGGCGCCTGGTGGAACAGCGCTGTGTCCCGTACCAAGGAGCCCCGATAACCGGCGCCTGGTGGAACAGCGCTGTGTCCCGTACCAAGGAGCCCCGATAACCGGCGCCTGGTGGAACAGCGCTGTGTCCCGTACCAAGGAGCCCCAATAACCAGCACCTGTTCGGGGCCTCGAACACAAGAACGTGCTCAAAGGGAACCGCGTGCAATTTTACAGCTATACACTGGAAATAAGCCAGCAGGTGATATGTCATTTAATTTGACTGAGGCTAAGCAGACTCATTTGATTATTGGAGGGGTGAAAACACTGGTAACTGCCACGTCACTGCCCCCCCTCCCAGCCCAGGGGGTGAGGCAGGACACCTTGGGTACGCCGACACAGCAAACATGCAGCGGTCACTGGCTATGACACACACAGCTCTGGCCATGTGTAAAAGCACAGAGAGGAAGATAAAAAATCCAGAAAGTTTGGGTTTTTATGGAATAAGCAGTATTGTGCAGTAACGCATCCAGTTTCATGCAGGGCTTTGGGGACCCAGAGCTTGAGACAAGTGGGCATGATGAATGGATGGGGGTATGTAAAACAAGCCAAATAGACAGCTTCATATAAAAGCTCAAAGGTACGGTTGTTGTACCCTTAATTAGTAGAATAGCTTCAGTAAAATATCCAAATCTGGGTGAACTATAAAATAAGCTGCTTTATAGAAACGCGATTAAGCAACACTGCTGCATTCAGGCTAAACAGTCAAGGAACAAATCCAGGCCTGTTAGTGTACAGAGTGAGACTCACTCATGTCCAGCAGGATCAGAACAGTTAATACATCCTCCTCAAGCAGGGCAGCAAAGCAAATACTGAAATGAGACCCCAAGCCTGATTTACTGGCATTATAAACATTCAATTCATAAACTTCACACACAAACCCCAAGGCCTTTTTCCTTTCCATCTTTACTGTAAAGGTTCAGCCACAGCTCAATTTAACATAACCACAAAACTTAATTTTATGTGCAGATTTTTTTTTTAAATTCATGGTTCTTTCTACCGAGTGCCTTCATAGCTGAGCAATCTTCTGGCAGAGCGCAGTCCTCATCTCCACACTCTGCACATTGTTAGCGATGGATGTCAGGAAGTGCCGCATGTCGTCCCTCTGCAGGGCGGAGCTGGAGCTGGGGTGGGCGGCCAGCACGGCCTGGCACTGCGTGACAAGTTCCAGGGCGCAGAGGCACAGCGACTCGGCCGGGCCCGGGAGCATCACCTGCACGTGCAGCGTGTGGCAGAACACCTGGGTCAGAGCGAACAGGAGCGCCGCTGCACTGTCACCGCAGTCACCGGCCGTGGCAGCCGGCAGCTTCTCCAGCAGCGAGGACGCCATGCCCCGCACGGCGACGGCGTACAGGCGGCCTACGTGCGCCGCACCCCCCGCAGACAGCCAGGCTGCGCAGCTGGGGCCGCAGAGCAGCTGGAAAACACGCAAGAGCAGCACGGAGAGGCGCAGCTCGGTGGCCAGCGGCCGCAGGTCCAGCAGCGGCAGGAAGTCGACGTACTCCAGCGAGTAGGGGACATAGAGCCGGCCCGAGACCAGCAGGGCGCGCACGGCCCCCAGCAGCCTGGCCCACTCCGCCATGGTGCAGCAGGGCAGCACCTGCGTCAGCACCACCATCAGCCCCTTGCTGAACATGCGGACGTCCTCCGCCTGGCTCTGGTTCAGGCTCAGCCAGCTCAGAAGCTTCTCCTGCATCGAGTCGGAGTAGCAGCAGCACTCGGCCCAGGCCAGCAGCCCCGTCCCCGGTCCATACTGGGGCATCTTCAGGGGACACCAGTCCTGCTCTGGCAGCTCACACACATCCAGCAGTGACTTTGGCACCTCGTTTTTGAAGTGTGCCCCCCACACGGGCCGGAAGCGGAGGCGCACTGTCCAGTCCAGGGTTTCTGCTTTTCTGTAGAGCCAAAAGAGGGCCCTGGACCAGGAGTCGGGGGCGGCGGCCACCTCCTGGCCCACCAGCTCTGCCAGCACATTCAAAGCCTGGATCAGCAGCTCTTTGGTCTCCATGGATGTGCGAAGGCTGCCATCTGCTGGCTCCTCCCAGCACCTGCAGCTGTCATCCAGAAGCCGGCCAAGAGTGAAAAGGAGGGGGAAAGGGGAGCAGCTCATCACCCAGTGCGTCACCCTGGGTCGACACGCCAACTTCAGGGCCGCAAGAAGCAGCTGCAGGCAGAGTTCCAGCCTCCAGGAAGACGAGGGTGATAAGCAAGGCAGGACAAAGGTACGCAGAACCTCCTCAGGAGCCAGCAAGGGCTCCACCGCTGCTTCCTGCGGCAGTGCGACTGGATCCATTAAGGCAGAAACGAAATGCAGGAATTGCTCCTCCTCTTTGGAGGAGGACAGCTTCTCCCACACGGCGTCCCGCAGGCAGCCACACAGCAGGCTCTCCCCAGTCGGAGCCCCCGCCCCGGGTTGGGGGTAGCAGAGCCCTGGCAGCTGCTGGAGGATTTGGGCCAGTAGAGAATGGGCCCCCAGGTTCACCACGGCCAAGTGGCAACAGCGCCGCAAGGTGGCCTGAGGGTCCTGGAGCGCTACACGGGCCACGGCGGACACGGCGGGGCCCATGCTGCCTTCCGCCCTGCTCTGAATGATGCTGTTGAAGGCCAGGTTGAGCTCCTCAGCAAAGCCCTCGGACAGCGCCTGGGGCAGGAAGCCGCGGAGCCCCCCTGGTCCCCAAGATGCCAACACCGCCACGAGCGTCTCATTCTTGCAAAGCAGCGGAAGCTCCGAGAAGACGTCGGCGATGATGGACTGCAGCTTCTTACACTGCAGGACATCAGCCTCCAGCTGGCACATCACAGCAAGGGTGGAGAGCAGCTTCAGAACCAGGTCTTTGTGCTGAAACACCTCTTTGTTTCTCTCCAGGCAGCTGATCCACTCTGTCCCGCTGGAAGCCCAGTCCAGCTCCGAAGCAAACCTGAGAGCCACATCCTCATGTCCCTCTAGCCGATGGTCGATGATTGCCATGGCAACGCGAGCCATCTCTGCAGAAGTGCATTGTGGATCAGGGAGAGCCAGCACCTCCAGGTCCTTCAGCTGGTCTTTCAGGTCACTCACGTCATGCCTCTCGGCTTCCATTAACCCACCAGACCCCAGCAGATCCTCCAAGGCACGGATCACGAGCAGCAGGCTTCGTTTGAGCCTCAGGGTGACCGAGCCCAGCACCTCCGCGTCTGGAATTTTCAGCAGCCCTCGACTCCGCCAGGCCTGGGCGAGGGAGCATGTGGCCCGCAGGCCCTGCAGAAGGGACATGTCCTCCAGATGGAAAGGCGAGCGGCTCCGGCCAGCAGCCTGGTCTCTCTGAGCTTCTCTGATGATCTCCTCCAGCCGAGGACCGGCTGCCCGACTGTATTCCTCCCTCAGACGGACCTCCCAAGCGAGACTGTGCAGATCAGTGCCCTTGGTGTAGGTGGCATGTTCCAATAAGAACGACGAGTACAGAGTGTCCAGGCAGTTGGAGAGGGCAAAGCAGGTCAGACCGGGCGAGTTCACGTGGCTCTCTATTTCCCTCAGTGCCTGGAAGAGCAGTGACGGCACACAGGTGGCAGGGCGAGGCGCGTCTGGGTCCGTTTTCAGCCGCTTGGGAGCCTGACACGGGAGCTCGCTGGAGGGGCTGCTGTATCGGGCACACTGGGCGGCAAAAGCCCGGTCCAGACTCTGCAGACTGTGACGCTTGTCTTTCCACAGCTCCCACCACACCTCCAGCAGGAGCTGGGCGTCCTGCGGAGAGCTGTCCCGTCTGAGGTGCTCGAGCAGCCTGCTGAGCTCTACACACAGGAGCGGCGCGGGGAAGCACTTCAGCAGCTCGGTATATACCCCAGAACAGCCCATTGCCTGGACCAACTGGAACAGCACTGCCCGGCTTATACTGGGAAAAACCTCCTGTGCTGGGAATAGAGGGTCTTCCCGCCACCTTGCGTCAATGTCCACTCCGTTCTCCTGCCCCAGGAGCTTGCTCCACAAAATACATATAATCTTTTTTTTCCAGTGAGCACTGTCCGGAGTCCCAGCCCTAGCGCCCCCGCAGACTTCCGCCACTGCCCGCAGCACAGGCTGCTCCACCCGGCTCCAATCGCCCTTCTCCAGGTCCGCCAGCGAGCGCGGCTGGCAGAGCTGCCCGGCCAGCAGAAATCCACCCTGCAGCACGGCTGTCTTCTCACAGCTTATCCAGTTCTCTGAAATAACACCGTAACAACACATTTCAAAATATGCATCACTGCTCCCTCTGGTCAGCATTACTTGAGTACCGTCTGCCGATGCCACATATTCCCGTTTAAACAGTCCCAGAGGAGTCCAACTACAGATAACGCAGCCGCCAGACTCTGACTTACCGTGATCCATGGTTCTCAGAAACAAGCAAACGGCTCCGAAAGATACCGAACAAAACTCATATTTCACTGGCTCCGTGCTGATATACCATCGATAAGTCACCAGCGCACGAAAACCAACGAGGTAACATAAACCCCCTTCCCGCTAACCGGCGGGACGTAAGACAGACACGCCGCGGTTATTTCTGACCTTTAACTTCCGGCACGAGCTTCCTGCATTTTCAAGAGGGACTCTGTCTGAATCCGAGCTAAATGCGTGCTTCTTAGCGCCCCCTGTCTATTATGCTCCTCCGCATTACAACACATGGACTAAAACGACTGTTTCGTTAACATGATCCAGGTCGTTAAATTTACATGCATAACAAATCACAGGCTTCTATCGCATTTTTATTAAATGTATTTATTTCTTATCAGATTAAACTCCGTTTTATTTATGATTAATGACGATAATAAAAATATTAAATTATTCACAATAAAGAATGTATAAATGCGTGTAAGTGTTATGTTATTACATCCAGCATGCATGATTCTATTTTACGGTTCAGCACGTGTTACAGAGCCTTCTGGAAACGAAGGGTGGCCATCATTCGGCTGAAACGAAAATGAAAGTCTGAGAAAACCACGTCTTCATGTCGCGGTCTCTGAATCAGCATGACGGTGCTCAAATATATTCTCTTCATCGGATTGTTTAGCACAGGTGAAATATTTATACCTCTATTTATGCACTTTTCAAATGCATGTCGCCAGTTGCAGTTAGTTTTGTGGTTGTATTCGTCAAATATTACGATCTGGAAGTGTGGCCGTTCCGTCCTACTCGGTATTATGCGCGCGACGTTTGTCTGTACAGTCGATTTTTTTTTTTTCGTTTTCTAAAGCAGGACATGTTCCCGGTGTGTGACATTACCGTGATCCCCGCGCACCTGATATGAATGATAACTTTGAGGTTACATTGTGCTCCTTTGGTTTTCGTCAAACACTAGACGTTTGAATTAGGAAATAAAGGTTTCTCTGTCGATCCTCATCATTACGCGGCGTTACAGGCGCTTTAGCTTGTCTTGGCAGAAACAGTACAGTTTGTCAGCGCTAACTGAACTGTCTCAGTTAATTCAGCTGGAGCGGTTTGTGTTTCCTGTTCAGGTGTTCTGGGGTCTGTGGAGGGAATCCGCTGGCTGCCCTGTCAGCTGGTGGAGGAATTTTTTCACCGGAACTCCGAGGGCCATTTAGAAACTAGTTTCCATCACAGGGATGTATTTCTGCAGTTCGGAAAGACCGGAGACCTGCCGGAATTCCCCGAGGCCGTTACTTTCCTAGTGACAGGTAACAGAGTATGGTACCATCACACGTGTGCTGATGTGAGACTGGCCAGGTGCTCAGACTGTAATCTGTATGTGTCTGTTAGTCCATGCTGGGTCCAAGATGGACATGCGGCATTACGCAGACGGGGACCCCGGCGACCTTCGCTGTGAGATCCGGAGGTACAGCACGGCGGGTATCCAGGTGCTCTGGAAAGGTCCTGAAGCCCAGGAGGATGACGTCTGGTTCACCTGTGCACTGCAGCACAGTCAGGGCCTCTTCAGTATCACCACATTCCTCAGGCACAGGCCGGCCACCCCCCCCAACCCCCAGGACGACATCAACAAGTGGAGCCCCATTGGAGAGCGGGAGACTCTCAGCACAACCGGTATGTACAGCAGGAACCCAGAGGCAGACTCTGACTGGAACCTAAAAAATCATTACATGTGGGTGCAGCTGAACTGGGCCTCTGCAACATGCAGCTGAAATTTCCCCACAGGTATCCATATGAAATACAGACCTCATGGCACCTCCAATCTAACCTCCATACCCACTACTGATTCTCTACACACATATGCATGTTAATGGCATAAAATGTGCTTGCAAAGTTGTTGCATGATCCTATGTCAGCTTCTCTGAAGCCAGTATTCAGGGAAAAGTCCTGTAGGAAAACAGAATAGACGTAAAACTGAATTTAGTTAAAGTGAATGAAAATGAGTTGAACAGAAGTGAACTGAGTGAAACTGAATCAGACGCTGCTGCCTTGAACGGCATTGAAATGTTAAACTCCGCCCCTCTGCCCGCAGCGGTCATGCTGGTCCTGACGCGCTCACCCGCCGTCACGTCGGCCCTCATGCGCGACCCCACACTGCACTGTCAGTTCGCAGTGGACCACAAGCAGCCCGACCTGACCGTGGAATGGCGCCTGCAAAAACACAGCGAACGCAAGAAGCTGTACAGCTTCAGCAGCCGCTCAGGCACCAGCGAGGGAAGGGGCGTGTCTGTGCGAGGCCTCAGCAACGGCAACGCCTCCCTGCTGCTCCCCCCTACCACCACAGCCAGTGAGGGCATCTACATCTGCTCCATCTACGTGCCCCCGCTGTACGGGAGCCAAGACATCAGCCTCCAGATCCTGGGTAGGATTTCCCAGCACCGTGGGCTGGGAGCTCAGGGGCAGCTGCCTGATACTGAACCCTTCCAGTGAGATTCAGCTTCTTAAACATGTTGCTCAGTTTGTCCGCCCCGCTGCCGTTTTCTTGCAGAGAGCCCCCGCGTCAGCCTGAATGTTGGCCCCACCCTTCAGCTGTCTGAGGGAGAGTCACAGAAGGTGGTGTGTGATGCAGAGGGCTACTACCCACTGGACGTGCAGATGGAGTGGCTCCGGCAGCACCAGAGCCAGCGTCTCCCGGAGATTCTGAAGACCGTGCTCTTCTCCAGCCACCGGCACCACCCTGGGGGAACCTACAGTCTCTCTGCCTTCTTCTTCCTGCAGCCGACCGCCAGAGACTCAGGCTACACCTACACCTGCAGGACGTCCCACGCCTCCCTGCGCACCCCCATACGCAAGAGCTTCACGCTCCTCGTAACAGGTGCGACACGCAGAGTAACAGAGAGACTCTCGCGATTCAGGGCTTACACATTCACAGAGAAACCCTGGACACCTGCGCTTAATGATTATGGGTGATTATCAGGTAACCACTCTTGAAAATTAGTTAGTTTTATGTGATGAAAAAAATTAAGATCCTCTGAAAAAGAAACATCAGCTTTATAAAGTGTTGCTCTAATAATATGGTGTTGTGTCCAGACGAAGTGAGGGTCATACAGAGGGTTTAGCTTAATGTCTTAAAACCTGTGGCGTCTGCAGAGTCTGCAAGCTGGACTGACATCATCTGTGGAGTCGGCATGTTTGCGTTCGTAGGTATCATGATCTACATTCTGCTTGTGATGTTGCGTTACCTACATAGAGGTGAGTCCCCCTACTGTCCTGTTCTCTTTTAAATGTGCCTGATGATAATTTCTTGCTTGTAGATACAGTCTGAGCTGTAATGTGCATTATCTGCAGAGTTGTTAGGAGAGTTTACTCTTGTAGATTGGTTTAAATTTTGAGCCAATGTTGTTAAAATGTCCGTAATGTGTTTTTTCCTTCTGCACACAGCAAAAAAAGAATCAAAGGTGAGTGATACTGTTGGTATAATTTGCTATTTCAAGCTCTGAAATTAATGACGTCGTGCTCACATTGTTGTTATTTGGGGCCTCTGTAGGCTCTGTATGTGTCTGTATGGGGCAGTGGCGGCTTAATGGTTAGCGAAGCGCACTTGTAATTGAAAGATTGCAGATTTGAATCCCCGACCAGCAAGGCACCACTGAGGTACCGTGAGCCTTATCCTGCTCCCCAGGCAATGAATTAGCTGCCCCCTCCTATATCACATATGGGTTAAATGCAGAGGACACATTTCCTTATTGTGTGCTGTGGTGTGTCAACAATTACCACTGATCACCTAATTCTAAATTCTCCCCGCTCACTTTCGGGCCCCTACAGGCTATATATATGTCTGTATTCTCCCCGCTCACTTTGGGGCCCCTGCAGGCTCTCTGTATATGTCTGTATTGTCCCCGCTCACTTTGGGGCCCCTGCAGGCTCTCTGTATGTGTCTGTATTCTCCCCGCTCACTTTGGGGCCCCTGCAGGCTCTCTGTATATGTCTGTATTCTCCCCGCTCACTTTGGGGCCCCTGCAGGCTCTCTATATGTCTGTATTGTCCCCGCTCACTTTGGGGCCCCTGCAGGCTCTCTGTATATGTCTGTATTGTCCCCGCTCACTTTTGGGGCCCTGCAGGCTCTCTGTATATGTCTGTATTGTCCCCGCTCACTTTGGGGCCCCTGCAGGCTCTCTGTATATGTCTGTATTGTCCCCGCTCAGTTTGGGGCCCCTGCAGGCTCTCTGTATGTCTGTATTCTCCTCGCTCACTTTGGGGCCCCTGCAGGCTCTGTGTATGTCTGTATTCTCCCCGCTCAGTTTGAGGCCCCTGCAGGCTCTCTGTATGTCTGTATTCTCTCTGCTCACTTGGTCTCTTTCTTCAGAGAAAGCCGTACTGATGCTCTGAGGACCAGACTGCCATGCTAAGGACACAGCAGATGGTGAACAGACCTCCACCACCTCATCCTTGCTGTAAAGAGGGAATGTGGGTTACAGGACAGAGCAGAGGCCAGAGGGCTCTGGTTGGGCTTCGGGATAATAAGGGCGGTGGGTAACATGCAGAGACTCCCAGTGTAATTCTACCAGCTGATATCTTTCATTTGATCAGATGATAAATAATGGACCTGATTGGGCTGAGTTGTTCAAATTTCTGAAAGTGTCGAGTAAATAACGCAGCTTTGCTGGTTCCCGAGTCCCCAGGAGATCAGAAGGTAGCATTATCCTAAAATAACCTGCTTAAACATGCAGGTGTCTCATTAGTCATATGCATGTGGCTCCTGCGATTCATGTTCAGTTAATGATTGATACATACAGGAACTGAAAGCAATGTCTGTCAGAGGAAATACTTGATTCTTACAATTTTACCTTAAGTGTGTATTATAGTAGAATTAAAAAATAAATAAATAAAATATGTGTAAATATCACGGTGCCTTTAACATCATGTACATAGTAAAAGTGTCACACATGATTCTCTATATGATTTTGATGTTTAAACGTGCAGAAATGTTTGTTATTCTTAGAAACTCTCCTTTAAACGTTTCCTGTTTTCTTTCCTGTCTGTCTGACCCCCTGCTCTCTCCCTCTCACTCTTTCTCTCTCTCCGTCTCTCTCTCATACACACAGACACACAGCAGCCATTTTCTGCTCAAGTTGCCCCGTTGAATCTTGTCTTTATAGTCAGCACTCTGTCACTTTCTTCGCAGTCTCTCCTTCTCACAACAGCCGATTGGTCTCCCGTTTCCGCACAACATCAGGCATGATCACTGCTTCCTGAGAAGCACCGCAATCCAACAGCTTGGAATGTGAACCGATTTGCAGTTATATTCTTCACCCAGAGGTGGTGCCATTACACCAATCAACAGTGACTACGCAACCAGCCATGTATTTTAATGGCATGTTCAAGGATTCAAGGGTGTTACTCATCCCTTGCAAAAGGTACGCAGTCAGACCATAACCTGCAGTGAAATGCAAGGTGATGAACTCTGCCATAAAAACAGTGAAAGCAAAAAAGGCATTAAAAAAGAAACATAATAGTTATAAGTAAATTTATACTGAAAAATAATACACCAGAGATGTACAACACAGATAAAATACAGCGTGAGGTGCATAGATAAGGAGGAAAGTGTAACCAAATGGTGAGCAGTCTGATGGTTTGAGGGCAGAAGCTTCTTTTTAGCCTCTTTTAAATGTCCAAAATGATTTAAGCACTGTGACATCATCCACTCGGATGACACCGTTCTCAGTCACACTCTGACATCATCCACTCGGATGACACCGTTCTCAGTCACACTCTGACATCATCCACTCGTTTGACACCGTTCTCAGTCACACTCTGACATCATCCACCCGGATGACACCGTTCTCAGTCACAGTCTGACATCATCCACCCGGATGACACCGTTCTCAGTCACAGTAAGATCAGGATGAAGCATCAGCACAAACTGATTTCACCTGTGAAGATGAAGTATTAAAACTCCGCTTAAAAATATAGTAATGATGATTGTAATAACAGTTTGTAATTTGTGCGTGTGCATGGGGGGGCACCATAGAGATAATGCCGAGGGCCCCTGAGTGACGGGGGCCTTATAAAATTGGTCTGGGTTGGGGGCCCAATTTGATACGCTTTCATGGGGCCCAGAAGCTCCGGTGGTGCCCCTGCATGTGCACAGATCACAGCGACATCAGCAGAACCTGTGAGCAAATAGTGGCAGCTGAGCCGCTATCAAACAAACCGGCTTTCAGGATCAAGGACGCTGGCATTTAACCACCGAAATATAAAGGAAAAGCAGCAAGATGTTTTTGGTAGAATAATGTTGACTTACGACTGTTATAATAGTAATGTCAGAATGAGCTATATGAAATCTATGAAATGCAGAACAAATTATATTAAAGAGTCATTAATAATTAAAAAGACAGAAACTCGATCTCATTAGCATGATCAGACTGGTTTTAAACACAGTAACTGATTGACATTGGGACTAATGGGGCACAAAGGGACAAAGGTTAAGTATTATAGACAAGGGCAACTTTCTGGAATAGAGAAGTTCAGTTTGGTTGGTGGAACACATGGTGATCTTACCGTGTTTACACATTTGGAGGGTCTAGAAATGCTTGGATATGGAGGAAAATGAACTAATTTGTTCCCTTGAATTTGCACATTTTTGGTCACCAGTAAGTAATGATTCGGTATTTTTTCATTCTCTCTAGCTGACTTGGCTAAAAGAAACAGGAGCTTTTGCTCTAGACTTGGCAAAATGTCTGCTGCAGGACATACCTGCACGCCTGGGAGATCTGATCCGAAAAAGCAGGTCTTTTTCTAGGGTGTTAAATTGAAATGAAAGCCATTCGTCAAGTCCTCCTGAATTCAGCTGTCATTTCAGTATATCCATGCAATGATGGTGAGTAGGTCAGTGATTTAAATTTCAGATGTATGTTCTACTTACATGTGGCACTGGCCGATAGGGGGCGCTCTTGGGACAGCAGTCTTATCGCTACTACCTTTACTACCGGGATGGTGTATGTCAGTCACCTGGGCTTCCAGGTTTACCGTGGCACAGATTTGCTTTTAAAAACAATCCTGAGCCTCAGCCCTTCGGGGAGGGAGGTGCTGAAAACATTACGCAAACAGACTACGAATGTGTGACTAAGTGGATGCAGAACGCAAGCGATGGCAGGATTTGGTTTGGAATCGAGTTGTGGGTCACGGTACTGGAGTGGAAGCCCACACATGGAGGATCAGAGCAGGAAAGATCAGCAGGCCACTTGCCCAGCCATTAAGTCACAGATGGAAACGAGGACTTGCTCCCGGAACAAACACCCCCCACCCCCCAAGGCAGATAAAGCTGGCTCACCTTCCTCCTCCAGCAGGAGGAAGTGAGGTCATATGGCCTGGATTATATCAGGCTTTCTGTGATACGGTGTGTGCGCGTGTTTCCCTCCAGCCTGCATGCGTGTGACAACCTGTGTTTCTGCAGAATTTCCCTCAGCTGTGACTGTTGCCCTCCTGTTTCTCACAGCAGCAGATGAGGGCCAGACAGCCGGCTTCTCTTCTTGCTCTGTGATGGGCTCTATGTGTTTATCTTTACCGACCCGACGCAACTTATGTCAGGAGTCTGAATGCGAGAATAATGCTGGTGCCTTCTTCAGCCACACTGCCTGTCTTTGTCTTCCGCTTCTGATGGGAACTTTCTAGAGTGAGCGAGGGTGCTTGCAGAACGAGGAACACGACAGCACACCAGAGGTAGTCACACGTGCTGTTTCTCACTGTCACCTGGTCATCTAACCTCCTCCTGTCAGAGAGGGACTGAGATGGGGATGAGGCATGAGCCTCACTGCCTGGCAATAAACGCTCACTGATCCACGCGTTCATCAAACGAAGTCTCCAGCTTCCCACGCTATCAACACAAATCTCACAAAGAGCAGCAGACATAGTAGGCCTTCATAATGTGCTAGTCCTTTAAGGTCAGGGGACCGACCTGCTCATGTGTCTGTGGCTTTCTGTGTCCTGTCAGCCTGTCTGGCTGTGTCAACAGTGACTGCTGTACCGACCAGCCTGTCTGTGGCTGTGTCAACAGTGGCTGCTGTACCAACCAATGTCTGTGGGTTTTTTGTGCCACGAGTGGTTAGTTCAGTCAAATTCTGGACACAATGAAACATTATTTATGGCAGGAAGGTTCGCTGGCTGTGTGCGTGTGAGAGAGTGCAGGTATATATTCAGTCAGACTGCAAGGAGAGAGCCAGATAGGTCATCCGTAGGCCAAACCCGAGCCACTGGCTGCTCGCTGTGCGATCAGCAGATTGTTTGCATTTGCTCTGTTTTAAGCGAGAGCTGTCATCACCTCCTGGAAGCATTGCACAGAGGGGTCAATGTAAGTCAGACAATGGAAGCCTTTCTATGGCAATGAGAATTCTCAACTCCTTTCCCTGACAGCCTGGCTTCGATCCAAGCCACACATGCTGGATCTTCCTTTACTGGCCTCTATAGAAAGTATCTCGCCTGTCTCCTCTCCTAATAGGCAGCTCATTCTGGGCCTCTGGGCCTCACTGTAGGGGTGTGTAGGGTTTGGGGGGGGGGGGGTGATGTCATGCTGAAATGGGCCCTTGCTTGCAGTGGGAGGACACTGTTGGTTTGGAAAGGTGAGTTTCAACGTGTAAAATTGTGAAGGAACATGTGATGGACGTGGAAGAGCTGGTTTTCGCAAAATCTGGGAACATGACATCACTTTATTTCCTCATGAATCCATCATCACAAGGGTGCCCATTATCGCCCTGCCAGATAATGAGCTGATTAGTCTGAGCTTACGGGAGAAGCCAGAGGCATGTTCTTCTGTACCTGTTCAATGAGATTGTGTCTGTGCCTGTCTGTAGCTCTCCTGCTTTCCGTTGTGTGCCTGTCTGTGGCTCTCATACTTTCTGTCTGCTTGTCTGTGGCTCTCCTGCCTTCCATGTTGTGCCTGTCTGTGGCTCTCCCACTTTCTCTGTCTGTGGCTCTCCTGTTTTCTGTGTCTGTGCCTAACTGTGGCTCTGCTGTTTTCCATTTCTGAGCCTGTCTGTGGCTCTCCCACTTTCTCTGTCTGTGGCTCTCCTGCTTTCTCTGTCTGTGCCAGTCTGTGGCTCTCCTGTTTTCCCTGTCTGTGCCAGTCTGTGGCTCTCCTGCTTTCCCATAACTCTGTACTAGCTCGAATGTCCTGCAGCTCCAGCTTCTAACTGACAGCTGGACGCTCTGCAGATGTTTCTTGTTTTCTTTCTAGATATGACTTTCTCCTTGGACTGGTGATACCTCGACATCTTCTCAGAGCTGTGAGCGTGAGAGAGGACCTCCTCCTCCTTCCCGTAATGTTCTGCCTCCCACCCCACCCCAACGTAAACCAGTCCTTCTCCTTTCATCTGTGTTACTGACTCACACGGGGGGGGGGCTTGGGACGTGCACTCCCTATTATTTTATTAAAATTCATTTATTCCCACCCGAGTACATAGACCGTTGTATTTAAATTATTAAGTTGTGTCCCCTCCAACATCAAACTCTCTGCTACGCCGTTGGGCTTACATTAGCTCATTCACAGTGGGGATTCACACTGACTCTCTTTAACACTGCATCAGTGTCAGGGTGAAGTTAGGGATAAACCTGAGGCTTACGTTGTTAAGGCTGCCCTGGGGCTTGGCTGCTTACCTGTCCTGTCCCACCCCAGGCCAGCAGGAAGTTGATTATGGCTGCCCTGGGGTTTGGCTGGCGTCACACACTGGCTATTATTATTTTTTGAGCTGCATCTGGGCAGTGAAGTTCCTGAGGAAACTTTGACGCAACTGAAGTCTAGTAAAATAAATGGAGTTCAGCTTTTGAAAGTAGAGAGGGAGGGGGCCCGTTGGCTGTTGGAGGCTGTTTTTTTTTGCCCCATGGGAAATCATTTTGCGGGGCAGGTAGGGTATGGTACTAATTAGTGTTGCTCTTAATGCTGTCCCTGTAGCAAGCATTGGTATCCACAGCAAGGATATGGGGATACAAGAATTTGGGGAATGGAGGAGCGGAAAGGGAGCTGAATGCTGAGCCGCCCGATGTGCTGCAGGTGGCCGATGGCCGGCAAGGTCAGCAGCTAACCGTCTCCCTCAGGGATTCACTCAGGGATTCACACAGGGATTCGCACAGGGATTCACTCAGGGATTCGCACAGGGATTCGCTCAGAGATTCACACAGGGATTCGCTCAGGGATTCACACAGGGATTCACTCAGGGATTCACACAGGGATTCGCACAGGGATTCACACAGGGATTCACACAGGGATTTGCTCAGGGATTCACACAGGGATTCGCTCAGCCACATCTCCATTTCTGATTTAGACTTGTGGGAAAACAGGCCAGACGATCCCATGAAGATTCCCGTCCACATGCCATCTGCTCAGCCTGTGACTGTGTTCAGTGTCACCCCACAACCACTATGTCTCAGTCACTTCCTTGTCCCAGAATATCGTGCCAATGGGCGTGTTCTCAGGGGTGGGGGGGTTTACAATGCTCTGCCGCCAATGATCTCAGCAGGGTTGCGGGTTTCCACACCCCAGTCTGCGTGCACGGTTAGGTAAGCGAGGAGGAGAAGCTGAGTGTCAGAGATGCTGGAGATAAGAGGCAGACTGTGCTGACGGAAGTGCACCAAAGGTTACGGACCCCATCTGGGCAACTGCCGTGACCGGCAGTCATGCTGCACCCCCCGAGAAAGACAAACAGCAAAAGTTCTGGCAGGAGTTTCTTTAAAATCACATCCCTGGCAGCTAAGAGGAGATTCTTGGATTGTGAGGCTGCAAACCACAGTGCTGCCCCCCCACCACCCACCTCCATCTAGTCCCACCCCCTAGATACATTTGTTTACTGTAAAGTGAGGTGGAATTTAGTTCTGGTGAGTGTGTGTGTGTGTGTGTGAGTGTGTGGTCCCGGTGTACATTACATTGTGGGGACCCAATGTCCCCACAGTGCCACAGTGTGATAAAAACCTGCTCTTTTGACATTGTGGGGACATTTTTTCTAGTCCCCACAAGGAGAAATTCAATTTTATAAACATTTGTGACTACAATCAAAAAACTAAAAATGCTCAAAGTGTTATGTTTTGTTTGGTTACTTATGGTTAAAGTTAGGGCTGGGTAAGGGTTACTTATGGTTAGGGTTGTCGTTGCTGGGATTAGGGTCTTCCCCACAGACATGAATGGAAAGTCCCCACAAAGATATGAATTCAAACGTACATGTGTGTGTCTCTGTGTGTCTGTGTCTGAGGAGGAATGCTGGTCTGCCCCCCCCCCCCCTTTCCCGCAAGTATGGATATTTGCATACAGAACTGCAGACACATGCAGACACACTTACATGAGGCAGCTCCTATTAAACCTGCTGTTTATTAGAGCATAGAACACAGGGCACTGGTTAATTCTTTGGGGGTGGGGTAATGAAATGGGGGGGATGATGAGGGAGACCTTACAGCAATGTGGAGGACTGGAGATGCCGGTCTGTCGTGGTGACTGACAGAGACAGAGAGAGCACAGTGTCTGAGGTCATAAAGACGAGGCGAGTGTAGCGGGAAGCCAGACAATGTAAACAGAGTCCTCTGTGCAGGACTCTCGCCCCTCCCCCTTCTCCTCCCTCTGCCTCCCCGTCCCGCCCCTGCAGCCGGCCCCGCTGGCAGAGGAGAAGCACATCAGCACACCCTTTAAAGCGGGGAGGCCGGCCGGCTTGGCTGACAGAGCCGGTGAGCAGCGAGGAGGCAAAAGTACAGCAAGGAGCACAGTGAGGAGGCACAAGTAGAGTGAGGAGGCAGAGGAGGTGGGGGTATGCTGGAGCCCTGGAAGTGAGCATCCAGACCTGCAGGTCACACACGTGGTCCCACATGAGCCTGGCACAGTTCTCCTGAGTGCTGAGAGCTTTCACCGCTTTCAAGTCACTCAGAGCTTTGGGCGATTTACTTTTTCCTTCTTAATATTTTTCAGTTCTCGTGGAATGATCTTCAAATGCTAGAAAACTGAACTTCGGGGTGGCTACACTGAATTTTTGGTGGAGACTCGGCTCTCTGCAAATTGGAATTTCAAAGGATTAAAAAGAGAACCCAGGATCCAAAGAGCACAGAACCTGAGAGCCCTAAACCCGGGCAGGACTGGTACTGACGCGGATCAGCTAGCGGGTCTTTCTCCGCATTAACAGTGTAAGCGTCGCCATGGATGCAGGCACTGTGGCTGCCCACGTGGAGGTCCCGGCCGAGGGGGAGACAGTGTGCGCGGCCCTGGCTCGCTGTGAAGCCACGCTGCGGGACGCCGTGCGGGAGCTCCACATGGACATCAGTGTCTTTAAGCTGGGAGTGGAGCGCCGCCTGGAGGAGGCCGGCCGGCTGGTGGGGCCCCTGGGGCCCCTGGGCTCCACTGTGGCCCAGCTGCAACAGGAGAACCGGCAGCTCCGGGCTCAGCTGGAAGCCCTGACGCGGCAGGTGGAGGTCCTGACAGGGTTGCCGTGCAACAGGGAGACCCTCCCCTCTGAGCCCAGGCAGCCGGTTGCCCAGAACCCACAGAGCCCAGGGACCCCGTCCGGGACCGACCCGGCATCCTCGAGTCCGACAGCGGCCCGCTTCTCCAGCCATGCCTGCTTTGCAGTGTCCGGCAGGACCAGTGTGAGTCCCGTCTGTCTGCGGTTCTGCTTGGTCCGGCAAGACCAGTATGAGTCCTGTATGTCTGTGGTTCTGCTGGGTCCAGCTGGACCTGTGTGAGTCCTGTATGTCTGTGGTGCTGCTGGGTCCGGCAAGACCAGTATAAGTCCCATCTGTCTATGGTTCTGCTGTATTTGGAAGCTCGGCTGTTAGTCCAGGCAGAGCAGTCAGTTCACTGGCAGTTTAGAAGCGGGTGAAGCCTCAGACAGTCACTGGCAGTTTGGAAGAGGGTGAAGCCTCAGACATTCAGGGCTTTTGGGCTTTCTGCACGTTCACTGTGTCACATCAGCATCAATGTTGCTGCCGCTGACAGGGGATGAAAATGATCGAGTTCAGTCTCCGCAGTTCTGTGTTCTGAGCTTGGTCCAGGTGGCTGTGGTTCTGGTGGCCTGCAATCAGGGCATGTCCCCATCCCTCTGACAGCTGCTTAATTGGGAAGTTTGGAAGGACCTACACACACCTTTAGCCGAAGTCTCTGCTGACCTGACAAGCACACACACACAAACACACACACACACACTTTCTTACTGCTTTTCTGTCCAGTTTACCCTCTTTTCTTTCTTCTTTCTTTCTTTTGCCTTCTGTCACCCTCCTCTTTTCAGGATGATATTAATGCTCCAGATTTCTGAGTAATTAAAACACATCACTACTTTCTTCTTCATTTACATGGTTTCATAATTTTAGAGTATATTTTTACCCTTTTGATTCACTTTGGAATGAGACTGTCGGTAAGTGTGACTGAGGATGAGCATGTTGCTGTGGGACTCACTCTATGCACGTTCATTTCGGAGCAGCGGGGGATTGTAGCATGAAGGGCTTTTACTGCACCATCTGAATTTTCTTTGTCAAGAACCTTAAACTGGTTCTTCTTGTACACCTTACTGCACACACACACACACACACACACACACTCATTTGGGTTTCTGCGTGGAATATGCTTGATTATTGTAGTGACACAAACTGCACTACAGTATGTTCCAGAACATCTGTGAGCATTTAATTTAAAAAAAATGGTCATAGAAGACGAGACGTTTGGCTGGGAGAAAGTTGAAACCCAGCCTTTGTTGTTACTGACATGAAACCCAACAACAGCCGGATATCCTGGCGCTGTACTCGGCTGAAGCTGCTTTCCGGAACCGGGCCGATTCTGCTTCAGTTCTACCCCGTGCCCCAGTGTGACTCTGCGCTTGGGAGGGGGGTGTGGCAGTTACCTTCCCTTCACCCGAAGCAGCTGGCCTGCTTTCTCTCTTGCACACGCACGCAAGCACGTACACACACACATACACACACACACTTTCTGTCAGATACACTTTTCACATTCCTCCCGGTCGGTGGAGGGTAAAAATGGCTGTTGCCTGTTACCAATGCCGGTGGCAGATTGCCCTTCAGGGTTATATTTGATTTCTTGGCACCTGAGCCTTGCAATTTAGTCATCATCATAAAGAAATGACTGTCCTTAATGTAGAGTAACAGCACCCCTCTCCAGCCCCTTAGACATGGAGGAACGCCGTCTCACACAGCACTTACATCGGCATCATGTTTGCATCCAAAACATCTTGTGAATTTTCTTTACATACCATCTCGGGGTCTCATGACTGCAGCATCAGGCTTCCATGCGTAAATGTGGCCGGTCGTCAGTCAGAGATCGACAGCCTCTGGAGTCATTAAATGACTCGTGAAGTGAAGGCAGAGTCATGAGGGACATACATACCATTCACCTCAAATGTGACCTAGAATCACCCAAAGCAGAGTCCAACTTGAAAACGCAGAGGGTGTGCCGTTTATCAGCTTTGGGAAATGAAAAATAAATGCCAGGAGGAATTCTTCACATTTACTATTTCAGTCATATTAATATGATGGATTGATTACAAGAACAAGCCCATATTTGTGCATAGTTAATAATCTGATTTATAGCTTGCTGATGGGCTATAGAGCCTCTGATGTTTTTGTTCTTATCTGATGTCACATCGCATATGAATCAGGCCCTGACAGCGCCGGCGGGGGGGCGGTGGGGGGGTTTGCTGCTCCTCATTGGTTCTCGCTATGGCCTCAGATCTCCATCCAGCTGTGTGCAAACTGGGACTCTTTTTAACACTTTTATTTTGACAGTAAAGGCTGGTCGCTTGTAAAGGCTGGTGAGAGCACACACCTGTGTACACGTTTGCCAGGGGGGCGTGCTGGATGGGGGGGGTGCAGCTATTTCCCAGGTACTCCATCTATGGTGTCCCCCACCCAGCCCAACAGTTCCGCCCAAAATCAGCTCCCTCTGACTTTAAATCCCCCTCCTTGTACTCCAGTGGCCGTTAATACAGCTCGGCGCACAGAGAAACGGATCTTTTCAGCTGAGAGAGGCAGAGCTGGCCGGTGAAACATGAGGGAGGGGCTGGCCTCACTCTGCTGCGCCCCCCCCCCCCCCCCCCCCCCCCCCCCCCCCAAGGCTGAACAATAATGGTGCGGCCGAGGTCATAACCCAGACGTAACGTTATAAACCTGTTGCTAGGGAAATATAAAAAACCGTTTGGCTGCCGTAGAGGAACTGGGTAAATGGGGGGGGGGGGGGGGGGGGGGCATTTGCAGATAGGTTTTATGTAGGTTGGTTCATTTTACTGCTTTAATTTGGGTGTGTTCCGCCTCTGTGGCAGCTGAACCATAACCTGTCGTTTTATGTGTGCTGTGTTTGGACGGCTGCGCTGCCATTTTCCATGGAAGATTTTTACGTTACCTTACTTAGTTTCTTAACAGCCATTTTGTCTGACAAACAGCGTAAATATCATATAGCGTAAAATACATTGTATTACTGGTGCCGTAAAGCTTGAGATGTTTCTCACAGCGGTGTGACAGCAGATTTCATACAGGGATTGCACACTTTCGGGAACAGGGTCAGGCCGTCTTCATCTTAGCGCCTCCATCGTGAGTCTGAGAAGCAGGAGGGAAGGGTATTGCAGTGATGATTGAGCAGACAGGTGCAGGGGGGGGGGGTCCCCGTGGTGTCAGGACGGGATGGGGCGGTGTGGGGGCCATGGGAGTCGGAATGAAGCGACGGTGCCGCGTGGGTGTGAAGCTCCATGACATCAGGGTGGAAAATGGCGAATGGCCCGTAATGACACTCGGCTAACAAAGGGAGCCCTGGCCATTATTAGCTTGTGAGGGCTTGGATTCCTGGTCCTAATCCAGCTGTTTTACTGCTTTCACACATTGACGTTGCAGCTGTGAGCCAGTCCAAGTGTGACCAAAAACGTAAGAATTTGAAGGTATCCAATGAGAACAGAGCTGAGGTCTGCATCTGGACAGCCCCGCGAACTAACACGCACACACACACACACACCTAAACACATAGACATACACGCATACACAGACAGACAGACACACACACACACATACACATACCTAAACACATAGACAGACACACACACACACACGCACGCACGCACGCACGCACGCACGCACGCACGCACGCACACACACACACACACACACACACACACACACAGAGTGTTTTCCCTGGTCTCTGGACTGCTGCACAGCTCAGAGGGTTGAGTATGTGGTTCAGAGGTCGACACTCTCTGCTTGTAGGTTTGAGGCTGGCCAAAGGCCAATAGCTTGACCTCTTTGTATTGTTTTCTGTTTCCCCAGCGTTTGTTAATATCTATCTTTGTTTCTCTGTCTAAGGTTTGTCCTGCTTGTGTCCAGTTCCCTACTGGTTCTGCTTGTACTTTTGCTCTGTGTTAATTATCCTACCGTGGTACTTCCCAGTGTGTACTTAATGTTTCCCAGTTTTGGGGTTTGTTTAAGTTTCCTAGTTCTGTGCTCCTTAATTGCAAGTCACTCCACCTATCGCTTGTTGCCCAGCGCCTTTCCTCTTTCCTGTTTGGTTCTCTTGTGTTCCACACCTGACCCCTCGTTAGCCCAGCTGTCTCTGTGTATTTACTGCCTGCTTCTGCTCCCTTCTTTAGTCTGTCATTGTCTGTGTTACTGCATGTTTGTTGCTCTGCCCAGTTTCCTAGTTGTTCCCTGTGTAACTCTGCTCCCTAGTTGTGTTCCTTTATGGTTTCTTCTAGTTACTTCTTATTTTTCCCGTTTGTTTTTTAACCCTCTTGGCCCTTTATTTTATCGTGGGTGTCTTTAAAGAACAGGTGTGAGGCTTTGCTTTGCGGGGCGGGTGACCCAAATGCTTTCTGGTGGCTGGCATATGGATCTCTGGAAGCCTGCGTCCCAGCTTTGTGTGGATGGGACTGAACAGGAATGGAAAGGGCCGCAAACCGTCTTTGTGACGCTGCTTTGTCCTCCTGGAAATGTCAGTAGAACGTGGCCTGAGAGCCCTCAGCGCGGGTGCTGAGCGGTATGGTAGGCGGAGCGTGGAATATGCGCTCAGCAGCTGGCTGTGGGCCTTTTGCTGGATGTGTGAGGACGGCTTTTGGCATTTTACTCCGAGGAGAGCGTGATCATTCCCTCCTGTCAGGCACTTCAGTATAAAAAGCCTCTGTGCTTGTCTGCTGGTGCACTGGCAGCATGTCTTCACCTCTGACATGTGAAGCAGGAACCTCTGATGTCACAGCGGGGAAAGCGGGACGTTCCACGGCAGACGTGAGGTCGGCCTGCTTCCTCTGACGGCCAGCAGGCCCTTCACACAAGCTACCGTCACTCATGTTACTCACAGCGACACCTATGTTCATGTTAAAAGCTGCGCATGTGAGCCCAGCCCAGAGCATTTATGGCCCGGATGGCATGACCCAGGACACAGAGAGCCCTGGGCCCTGGGCCCCGGGCCCCGGGCCCCGGGCCCCGGGCCCCGTGTTCAGCTTTCGGGGCCACAGCGGACGCGGTGTCGACAGCAGCGACAGCACACCTGCCACAGGAGGAGAGAAAGTGCCGCAGACTGTCCTGCCAATTAGCTGCGATTTCAGCTTGTATGTTTCTCTGATAACTTGTACTTCACTGACCCCCACGGGGGGATCAGCGACTCATTCCTGGGCTTTTAATGCTTCTGATGAGTCAGGTGAGGGATTCGTCTGCGACTCGCAGTTCTGCTGTTGTTCCTCCTGTGGAGCCTGGTGTCCTGAGTGATGCACACAGAGCACATTTCATGGTTCTCAGGGTCTTTATGTGGAGCAGGATAAGAATCAGGTGCCTCCAAAGTTTCTCAAAAGCTAAAACCGGACCTGGCTGTTGTTTATCGTTTCACCTGCCAGATCATTCAAAGCTGGGAGATGCTTTTGGAGGTGAGCATAGTTAGTGGCTGAAATACCTCCAGACCTGCCTATAATCCCCTGTGGAGCAGCCAGCTGTTCACAGCCCCCCCCCCCCCAACACTTACTCTCCCAGAATTCCTGGTAGCTGATGTCACCGCCCCATTCCCCCGCCAGCCCTGTTTCTGAATTCCTCGGTTTGTGTGGAATGTGCTGGATTTCCATGCATGACGTGCATGATAAGAGTAAAAGGAGAGGAACCCAGTTTTAGAGGGAAAAAAATGTGAATTCAGGGTCTCTCTGTGCTGCAGTTAGTTACTTAGTTAGTTAGTGAGACATCAGATGCCAAGGTCAGTCACTTCCCAGCACACAGCTTCTTTGTGCTCGATGTCATTCTGAAGTCCCTTAGTCCAGTTTGTGAGGAAATGAACTAGATTGGATCTGTTGCTGTAAATAACGTGGACAAACCGGTTAGAGAAAGTCGTCAGATGGATGACATTTTTGCCACTCGTTATCTAAGCATGGACAGCACACCCTATGTGCCGGGTGAGTATCTGAGTCTGTGAGGGGTTAGAACAGAGGAGAAATAGGCCATGAGATTAAAAATCAAAAATAGACCGACCTCGTCTCTTGTTCTTTGCCTTTGTGCTGGAAGGGAATGATGATAATGATTATGAGGCTGGTTATTTACAGGAACATACCCTGGCCATGCTGACTTCCACTGTACTTTTCACTTACAAGAAACAGGAGACATTAGGCTTGGAGATGCTGAGTGGGAAAAGCAGCCACCCACTGCAACGCACTGCCAGTCACTGCCACCCACTGCAACTCACTGCCAGACTCGGCCACCCACTGCCAGACTCAGCTACCCACTGCCACTCCCTGCCACCCACTGCCAGACTCGGCCACCCACTGCCAGACTTGGCTACCCACTGCCACCCTCTGCCACTCACTGTCCCCCACTGCCAGACTCTGCCACCCACTGCCACTCACTGTTCCCCACTGCCAGACTCTGCTACCCACTGCCGCCCACTAACTGCCACCTACTGCCAGACTCTGCGACCCACTTCCACCCATTGCTACCCACTGCCACTCCCTGCCACCCACTGCCAGACTCGGCTACCCACTGCCACTCTCTGCCACTCACTGTCCCCCACTGCCAGACTCTGCCACCCACTGCCACTCACTGTTCCCCACTGCCACACCGTGCCACCCACTGCCTGCTCGAAAGCATGGCCTGTTGGATGTGTTAATAGTGTATGAGGCTGACAGTGCATGATAATGCCATACATCAGGTGTTGATAAAGTTACTCCTATTTGTCTGCATATTACAGAAACATTACCCTTAAGTCTTTGGGGAACAGGACAATATACCTTTTGCAGTGGCTTGATGGTTCTTCTGTCTGCTTCTAGAATCCTGTGGAGGAGGAGGAGCCTATCGAGATGGACTCCGCCCCAGCTCCCTCAGTGCTGGAAAATGGGCACAGCTCTGCTCCAGGTAATGTCCTCTTCCCACTAAAGTCCCTTCAGTCTTGTATTTAGGCAGGACAGATGTTGAGTGTCATTGTGTGTTTGTGCTGTGCTCTTATGTCCACACAGAGAGCTTGGTGATAACACAGGAAGTAAAGTCAGATCTGAGTGACCAACCTCAGGAAAAAGTAGCTCCTGTTGCCATGGTAATGCCACATTTGCCCATCACTGCAACAACCAAAATTGCAGAATCCTCCATCGCCATAGTTGCCAAAGCACTCAATCCACCGAGCAGTCCCATCCAAGCCCCGCCCCCTGTGGTAACTGGCAGTCCTCCTGGCCAGTCAACTGCAAGTGGCACTCAGGTGCAGCCAATCCCAGAGTTTCCTCATCAGTCAGGTGAGGGGATATCTAACTAAACTATGCCCCTTTGCACTCTGTCAGAGTCTCACTGTTCATATTTTAATTCCAGCTTCTGCTGTGAAGACATGGACCCCAAGTCCAGTGAGAACTATGGGTTCTGCTCGAGTGACAGGTGAGAGCTGATCCAACACCCCTGGGCCGCTTACCTGCTCTTCATCGTCAGAAAGTTACTCTGTTGCACTTTGGCAGTGCCAGAATCTCACCAGTCCTTTGGATCTTTGCAGAGAAACACGCTTCTGTGACGGCGGTGGCTTACCCAGGCATCTCCCCCATTACCAGCAACAGATTAGCCAACAGGTATGGAGAATCTCTGATGTCAGTTCTGCTGTCACCTGGGGAAAAGGGGACAATCTGACAGTCCTGCTGGGTTGATTTCCGTTCCATGGTGGTCAGCATCGACTTGAGGGCTTTTGTTCCACATGACACCTCACTCTTCATCTTGTTCTTCATCTGTTCCTTGAAACACATACACTGATGTATTTCTGTATGCTGCATAATGATACCGGCAGACAGGAGCATCATTAGAGACTTATGAAAAGCCTTTACTGGGGGGGGGTGATTATTTTAATGGGAATGAATGAGAATACATTATTTATTAGTGTATTTGTTTTGGGGGAAGGGCTAAAGCCCCCTTAAACCAGTCAGATTATCCACTTACTCCAAATGAGTCCTTAAGAAGGTCTGGAGAAAAGGACAGTCAGTGGAGAGGTAGCTGGCAGCTGCCTCTGTCTCTCTACCTGCCTGTCTGTCTGTCTGCCTGACTGTCTGTCAGTCTGTCTCTCTACTAACCTATCTACCTGTCTGTCTGCTGCCTGTGTGACTGTCTGTCTCTCTACCTGCCTGTCTGTCTGTCTGCCTGACTGTCTGTCAGTCTGTCTCTCTACTAACCTATCTACCTGTCTGTCTGCTGCCTGTGTGACTGTCTGTCTCTCTACCTGCCTGTCTGTCTACCTGCCTATCTGTGTGTCTGTTGAGACACATATTTCATTCTGAGTTCAACTGTCTCTTTGCTCCAGGCGCCTAGATGTGGGAGGGGAGAGAAGAAGGGATCTGCTGAGGTCCCAAACTTTGCCCCGAAATATTGGTGCCCAAGTCCAGCACTCTCCCCTGGGGAAGCTGGACTCGGAGCTGGGCAGGTAAACCTCATCCTCTCTCATCCTATTTCATCTTCACTCCTCCCCAGGTCTTCCACATGAGGTCCTACATGAAACGTAACTAACTCCATTTTGTGTTTGCACCCTGTTGTCATTTTCTGCTGCTTCACGACCCCCCCAACCCCTGCCTTGCAGGCCAAAGCTGAAACGCTCCCAGAGCTTTGGTGTGTCCAGCGCCAGCAGCATCAAGCAGGTCCTCCTGGAATGGTGCCACTCCAAAACCATCGGCTACCAGGTGAGTGGGGTAGCCCCCCCCCCAAATACAGTGGCAGAGCAGGAAGATACTGGGATGTTGGGATGAGCGACACTGGAGCAGCACTGGAACCTGCTTGTGTTACCACACTGTTATTTATGCTGCTGCTTCTCACTGCATGTTCAACACACCTGCCAAATTATGAAGGTCTGAATTTTATCCCTTTTTCTGATTCCGTAAGCAGTACTTCCATTTCCCGGCATCTGAGCGATCCATGAAAATCTGCTTCACGGGTGTCCAGCGATGCACAGCCTGTCTGGGCTGGAGGGGATGAGTCTGGAAAGGAGTCTGTGTCACGTGATGCGAATGGGAATGTTGGCCATAGTGGGCTGGCGTAGCTTTCTGTGGAGACGGACGCCCGTCTGCGTTAAATCAGAGCCCCCCCCATCGCAAGCCGGGACAGCTCATGCCCACGTCCGAGCGCCCTGGTACGAGGCTGTGCCAACACACCGGCATCACAGACTGTCACTCTGCAAAGGAAGAGGGCTGTGGGCAGAGAGGAGAGTCCGTGATGACTCTATCTGGAAAGCATGTCCCTGTCCTTGGGGGAGGGGGAAAGAGTTTAACTGTCCGAATCTGTTTCCGCCATTATGGTTTGGGGAGGATGAGCCCTGGAGGAATTCCACAGTTAAGGAGAAAATACCCCTGAAAGCCTGATGCTGGTGCCATCTGTGAGAATCTACACTTTTGTTTGCTAAACCCCTCATTTTTTTATTAGTTAGCTTTTTAAATGAGCTCCTGTTTTTTTCCGAACACCGTGACTGAAGTGCTGCTTTCAGATGCGTGCATTGGCCATCGGAGCCATCTTTGTTATTCACACCAATCTCTCTCTATCTTTCTCTCTCTGTCTTTCTCTCTCTGTCTTTCTCTCTCTGTCTCTCCTCCCAGAACATCGACATCCAGAACTTCTCATCCAGCTGGAGCGATGGCCTTGCATTCTGCGCCTTGGTCCACTCTTTCTTCCCCACTGAATTTGACTACAACCTTCTCAGCGCCACTGAGCCCAGACACAACTTCGAGCTTGCATTCGGCTTAGCAGAGTAAGCATGTGTTTGTGTGCGTCAGTCTGTTTGTGGGACTGCTGCTGTACCTATATTCTTTCTCAGCTGCTCGTCTGCCAATTTCATGTACCATATCAACGAAGAAATAAAAGATAAAATGTGATGTGAATGAAATCAGACAGAGAGCCCATTTGAGCCGTCATTGGCTGTGAAGCTGACTGTGCTTGTCCTTATTCATGATGCCCACGCCGCTCCCCTACTTGCGCCTCTCTGCAGCCCGCACTCTTCTCTAGCCTGCAACCATTTCTATCTACAACCCGCTTCCATTCCCAGCCCGCGCCCCTCTCCTGCCCGCGCCCCACTCCTGCCCGCTCCCCTCTCCTGCCCGCTCCCCACTCCTGCCCGCTCCCCACTCCTGCCCGCTCCCCTCTCCTGCCCGCTCCCCACTCCTGCCCGCTCCCCACTCCTGCCCACGCCCCTCTCCAGCCTGTGCCTGTCTCCTGCCCACGCCCGTCTCTGAGCCTCCTGCTGTGTGCCGAGTTCATGCTTCCCTCCTCCCTGCCCTGCATGCTGTCATCAGCCTTCAGACTCCTGGCTTTTCAGCTGGAGCCGATCAGGCCGACCACTGAAAACTGAGCCTCTTAGCCAATTTCACGGCCGTCTCTATAAGGCGCCCGCAAACCCTCTAACCAGGCTGTCGACCCCCCCCATCTCTCCCTAACTCGCACATTCCTTTAGCCTGACATCACCTTCTTCAGAACATGTCTGTAAAACCTCCAACTAAAATAACATCTAAATAGCCGCCCCTTCCTCCCGCGCACAGAGAGAAGGCTGGATGCGACCGCCTCATTGAGGTGGAGGACATGCTGGTGATGGGTCACAAACCTGACCCCATGTGCATCTTCACCTACGTCCAGTCCCTCTACAACCACCTGCGTAAGTTTGAGTGAGACGTCGGCGTCGTGCGGCCTGACAGACAGCCTCCTCCGGAGCTTTGGTTTGTCTTCCACGACAGACATCGCCCCGGTCTGCAGGTCAGCAGCTGCTGGGACTGATGGACTCGAAGCAGACGGAAACAGGGCTGGCAGCTTTTCATTTTTATCTCTATGAAACGATGGTCCTGATACTGTTTCTTGTATAAATAGATTTACATATATTTGCATAACGGGCTGCCGGCATTGTGGGATTTTTTTATGGACTGCGTGGAAACCAACGCCCTCCTGGTAAACCCATCTCACAGAATGTGATACAATGTGAAAGCTGCTGTTTGAGGAATGTGGGTTTTGTCCCCTCTCCCCCCCGTTTTAATCTGGTTTCAATTTGTTCCCTTAAGTTTAGCCGTGTTTTCAGAAATGTGCTGTTTGTTGGGTTTTTACTCAGCGGCCCCAGGGGGTTCCTGCCAGCCCATGTTTGAAACGGCACAGAGACTCTGACTGGCCACATGCCCAGTGTGTTGCTGACTATCTGGCTTTGCAACATGAGCACCTGCGCCTAGTGGCACTGCCGGATCAGAGGGGAATGGGAACTACAGTCAGGGGGCACGAGGTACCCAGGGGGACGAGAAAACGCGTGACACCACTGAGGTTTTTTGTTCTTCCAATAGTTCTCTCACTTTTCATGGGGAGTGAGTGCTTTAAAGGTCCTAAAACAATATCGTGTATTGAATACTATTTTTTCTAAATGTTGTACTTTATGGGTGGAACTAAAAACTTTAAGTGGTAGCAGTGCGTTGTAGAATTTGCAGTTTATTAGTCATTTCCTGGAATTCTTCTTGTGCCAACACTTTTTCCATAATGTCGCTAAAGCTCCTGCAATGTGACTCTAAGCGTTACCGCGTTTATACCGGGTTTTCCCTGTAAATCGAAGAATTTGACAAGCTTTTTATCTGATTAAATTTATTTTCCAAGTCAAAAGTAACCACAGAAGTGTTGTACTTATAAATACATGAAATTTTGCATAGAAATAAAGGATCACAAAGTGAATCTTCACAAACTCCTGCTCCCTTACATGCTGTGATGCAGCCAGCCCAGCCTTAACCTTTTAAAACCTGCATATTTTTATTTGTCCAGTAGAGGGACCAGAGGTTCTGCCAAGACTCTCCATCACGCATCAATGGCCAAACAGAGTACGGCTGTTCGGCTCAATTCGCTTCCTGTGTGTGGTGGGAGACGTGAGCACTGACACACCAATTAAGGATTAACCTGACAACAGAACGAAATATTTACTGAAGACAGCAAAAACATTTCATAAAAGACCAATGGGACGGCAGACTCTGCAAGGCGCATGTAAGGTGTTTCGTATCACAGGAAAAATGTGAGACAGGAACATGCAGTCAGTGTGAGAGTGAGCGCAGTAGCTGGACGAAAGCTGAGGAATATTAACGTTCCGCATAGGAGCCGACTGGGTTCCCCTGCGGACCGAGTCCCTCAGTTCCACTAGAGAACTCCGTCAGCACCGGCTGTGTCCCACTACAGCTCTCCTAGCTCTCCTTCCATCGTCCGGACCAAAACGTAGAGCTCGGCCAGGCCCACCACCGAGGCCGCAATCACAGCGGAGAGAACCCTCTGCAAGATGCCCACAGGACACTTTACAAACCCTCCTGGATACACTTCACACAAACAATGTGTTTTACATGAATACATGGGTCCTGTCACATTTCTGACAGCTACATCCATCAGCCATTTTACTTTACAGATAATATCTGAAAATCTGCAACTTGTGTTTATCTGTAAATGAGCTTGTTAGTGTCACCACAGGGTGCCGTGAGGAGAATTAAGACGACGATCCCTTTGACTGGTTCTACAGAAACAATGAGGGCCTCTGAAACATTTTTTTCACCAAAAAACAGTTTGAAACAAAGTAATGTCACAGTTTTCTCAGGCAAACAGTCTACAAATATGGGTGTGAGCGGATCCCAATGCAGGGGCATCTCCCAGACACAGGTCCTGACGGATAAATTCAGTTCTTACCGCAGTGGTCTCTGTGAAGATGTACTGACTGCCCAGGTAAGCACAGGCAAACGCAGCCGCCACAGTCACCAGGAAGTTGAACACAGTGATGACAGCAGCTTTGACTGAACGCACTGTGACAAAGCAGGCAGATGGAGGGTAAGAGAGTAAAGCGCTAAGCCGACCACCAGCTACAAACACAGAATCTTTGTGATGGGACCCCTGCACTGACCTTGTCTGCCGATGTCAGCCAGTGTTCCGGGCCGATTCATTTCCTTTGTGGATGAAAAGATCACATCAATGTGCACTGCTTCATGAAAACCACTGGGCCAGAGGCAGAGGTGGACATTTCCGGTCCAGAAAGTAAAAATCCAAATCAGATTTTGTTTCAACCAACCAGTTGAGTATAAAGAGTCACACTCACAGATACTCAGCTGGGTGGTTGATAGAAAATCCTGATTTGGATTTTTACTTTCTGGACCTGAAACATCCATCGCTGACCAGAGGCCCCATCTACTCGTAAGAGAAACCAGTCCTTTAGGTTAGCATTTCCGACACCGAAGACTGCAGACTGTACCTGAGGGTCGACATTCCTGGTTATCCGCATGTATTCTTCATTAGCCAGTTTTGCTTTAATCTGCTCCAATCGAGCCACCAGCTGGGGATTCTTTGAACAAAGGAGCAGAAAGACAGAATCCTTAATGACTACTACTATCCCTATCATTATTTATTATAATTATTATTAATACTTCTGCACGAGACTGCGCCACACTTACTCTGGGGGGAGGTTCATAGTGAGGTAGATGCACTGAACTGTCCTCCAACAACTCATGGAGGTAGACCGGAAATCCTGCCATAAAAATGACAATTAATACGTTTAACTTTAACAGCAAATCGGTGTCACGCCCGTGATATTTAAGCCATACCGTTATCTTTCAGGTATCTGTGTAACTTCCTCGCTGTGCTGAAAGGCAGGACGAAAGGCTGCTCCTGTTTCAGGAGGGACTCGATCTCATCCTGCAGGTCTCCCGGCATGGAGCCCCTCTCCAGCAGATTCATCACCCCCTCACGAAATGTGTCCCCGAACACAAATGACGAGGCCATTTTGTTGTTTCTGACTTTGTTATTTTGCCAGATTGTACTTCAAACTACTTTGAAGAACTGGAAAAAAAAAAATCCGAATTCTCCAAAATCTGCCCGACAAACTTTATAACGGTACAAAAATGACAACAAAGGGAAAACTGCCAAAACCTAGATGTATACAATACAGTACAAGACCAGAAATAACTAGACTCAAGCAGTCTGGCCACAGACTGCATATCGCAATATAATCTAAGTACTAGCAAGACAATGAAATACATTTAAGATCATACATCGGGCTTTACCACTTATACATATGCCTCTACCATGCACGCTTAATTTTTAGCCGGCGTTACCTACCTTGTAAAGGTAATTGTTCCCTGAAACACAGAAACAGTAATTCATTTAACATGAATATAACAGATAGAGCCCAGAGAGGGCCGCCATGATAGTGTGACGCATAAGCGGAAGGTCACTTCCGGCCACGTGCTGTTATTATCACGGGAACGCAATGTCTTTGCTTTCAAGTTTAGCAGCAGTATTTCTGCAAACTCCTACAAATTCAGTGTAAAATTTAGTGCCACAGTGCATTATGATTGGAAATAATATGGATGTGTTGTATTTTAAAGAAATGGTTTATCAAAATAACACTATTAGCACTGGTTTGTGTGGTTAAGTTAAAATAAAAAAGTAAAATAGCTTTAAAAACAGTACGTACACAAGTGTTTTCGTCACTGAATGTTGAGTAATTTTGCAAACTAGTTCGGTGTTTCATCGAATGCCTCAATTCGTGGGGGCTAGTCCCTTCAGTTCTGTTTTGTGTGAACCATGCGTATGTCCTTTGTGCATCGTGTGATAGGAGCATAGTGGAAGGGGAACAGGAGGCACAGGTCAGTGGTAGTAAGGGGAAGCCTCCACGTGCCACTGACCATCAGAGATCTTTCAAATTAAATATGTTATCCGGTCCATGGAGAACTGTTTTCTAATTTTTACCGTTTTATATTATACTTTATGTAATACTTTGAAATTCCATTTGGAAATAAAACACTTACAAACACATTGAGAAAATACTTAAAATGTACGTGCAGCATATTGTAGTGTGTAATGAATCGTCAGTGTTAAATGTCCCAGTGTATTACACAGCGAAATGTAACGGATTAGAAATTAGATGTGAGATATATTTTGAAATTACAGCAGTCAAACCATCATATACTCCTTTTATTAGACTGTTTTACTGAAACTAAGTCTGATGGATTTTTTTTTCCACTAAACCAGGCAATTCTATGTTTTCTCCACCAGATGTCAGACCAATAAGGCAGATTAACTGCAAATCTACTGAGCTGTAGTTATGCAGGTTCCAAACTAGATGTCCGCTTACTCCGGGGTTAGTACGTGCTCCTCCTGTGGCAGTTTGCATGACGCTACGGGAATGATAATCCCTAGTTTAAGGGAGTGCTTAGTAGAGAGAGAGAGAGAGACCGTATAATACTAGTAAATGACAATTTATTTGTTTATAATAGACATATATTTATAACGATAAACAAATCCACAGGGAATTAATCGAATTATTGAAGAACCGTTTCACATTCAGAATCAGTGAACAATTTTGCGTGATCATTTGAAATATTTGTATCTTTCGATCGGATGGATATTGCAGCAAATATTGTGAGCGACGCGTTGTCTAGTATAACATAGCGTACAATATTGGGTCAAAAATGCAGCCTACATGCTGGTGACAGCAGCATCTTCATCAGACAAAATTCGTTCATGTGGATTAATCCGGGAAATTTGCAATGCTGTGTTAGACAAAATTCTGAGGCATTGTGAGGAATGAGGTCCCGTAAACTGTAATGATGACATTTTGCAACACGACAGTGACAGAAAGCAACGTCCTCGAAAACCAGGGATGCACCGGGCCCCTCCCTACCTCGCGCTCAGGGGAGCGGCGAGCGCGCTCGTGTTCACACGCACGCATACGCACATTCGCCTTGCTCAGCTACACAGTCCGATACACCAATGTATCCGTTTAGAGTAACCTTGTACTGATTCTCCCTGGATGGGCGATAATTGCGATCCACCAAAACCAGCAGCTTGTTACTCTGGGTGATGTGTGATTACAAATTGCAAGACCGAGGGGAGATTCTGAGTCGATCACGAAACAAATGTGTGACTGGGGGAGAAAACGAAAGGATGTCCTTAACGTGTTAAAATGCCAGCCTGTGAGAGCCACGAGTTCATATTGCCTGGAATATGGACAAACAGATGAAATAAACATTTTGCCCGGTCACCTCCCTCTTTTATCAGCATTAGATTTCGTTCAGTTGTCTTAGATGCTGCAGATCTGCTGGAATCGCATGGATTTAAAAAATATAACAAATATGAAATTGAATTGACAAGGGACATAAGCGATGACAGGGAAAGACTGGAGACTTAAAACAGATAAACTCGTCTCTGAGTTCAGATGTGCGGCTTAGTTGTGTCGTGCAGAAATTAAGTGACGTTCAGTCGTACGCGGAGTATTTGCTGGTACTGTTGGAGTTTGGGCGCTCTGCAGGACTCTGGACTGCTGAATTACCATCTTCTGCTTTGCGGCTATGCAGCGGGCACCTTCCACCACGCTCTTCCCTACATGAGGGCTCTTGTCCGGTAGGACTAGCAGCCAAATAGTCCTCCTGGATTTCGCCGCGAAAAGTATCGCTGTTGTGAGCATCTTCGTTTCGACTGAATGCTTGATTGCAATGCGCGGGGCTGTTTTTTCACATGAAGCACTGGAATTTTTGAATACTCGGTTTTCTTATCAGAATCCGCTTTCCCCCGCACCCCCCAGATAAGTATTTCACAAGGAACGGATGATTTTAAAGTTCTGGATTGTGCAGGGACTGGGTGGGAGGAGATTATAATATGGACTTTGTGGCGTCCTGTTGTGAGATCCGGACATTAAAAGAGAACGTTAAGATATAGTTATCGTATTGTGGACAGGGTAACGTTCATTACGCGTTTACCAGCAAAGTAATTTAGGTGATGTTTTTCGTAATCCGGGAAGACTATTCATGAGTGCCATCCTCCGATCGAGGACAGGTGTCGGGCATGACGGCGCTGAGTGTCACGTGGGGCAGTCTCAAAACAAAAACAATCGTACGTCTACAGAAATGGCTTACATTAAATCCTATTATGCGGGTGATCCGTTGAACATTTTGCACGGTTTTTAAAATGCATGGGAAAAATGCAAACACTTAATGTAGGATATTGAGAAAGTAGTTTGCATGAGTTGCTGGCAAAGCAGGAGGGATTTTTGCTGCAGGACATCATCCAGGACACATCATGGGAACCAAACAGACTAAGGCTGCAGGGCCGGAGTCTGGAGCGACTCCACAGCACAGCGGCTGGAAGCGGACGCCGACTAAAGAGCGGAGCGACGCCTTCGCCTCTTTCATGCTGAGGTCGGGGGATCGGCTGGGCCGAAGCGGGACTCCTCCCCCCTACCAGCGACGTATCGGCATGATCCAGGAGATGATGGTTATGGCCAAGCAGGGGAAACAAGACGAGGCCACAGAAATGTTAAAGACGCTTCGACAGGTACATGACATTAGGGTTGGGCAAACTGGTTGCTTTACTCAGTGGTTCTATATAGTTCGATACTTATATAGCCAGTGTCAGGGGGATATTTATGCATATACCGCTGTAATTTTACGCCACCTCTGCTGATCCCATTTAGGTGTGTAAAAGCCTGTAGGTACGTTTTCATATTTATTCTCTAAAAATATATGGAATCAATAAGGTAATATACCATATGAAAATAGTTATATTGGCTACAAAATAATATAACACCACGATCATATTAATATTAGGGTTTTCTCTGATTAAATAATGGGGTATTTATTTGCAGAGATATAGTGTAATTACTTCCTAAAAACTGCAGAAAATGCATTCTCTGGGAAGGGTAGAAATCGGGGAGTGGAAATCGAGTTAATTCATTTTTTCTTTAATAATTATGACTCCGTTATCTTAACTGCCGCAGTTACCCACTTAGTTAATTGACCGCCCTCGTGCCTCTGGAAATGGGTGTGCTTTATAACGCTTTATAACGCGTAAATGCACCACAGCGATCTGCTGAAATGTCCTCCTGCAGACATGATGAAATTAATTAAAGTAATTGCTAATGCTTCTTTTTCCAGGGCTGATTAAATTGCACATCTAATTGAAATATTTTTCTCTCCAGTGTTCCAGTTCAGTTAATCACTAAAGTCTCCCTGTTCTGGTTCAGTGAACTACAACAGATCCAGAAGCAGATTAGATCTTTACATGTGATATTTACCGAGATACTTAAGCTGTAAAGTTGTTTGAGCTGGAGTGTAAGAATGTGAGATATGACAGTGCAGTTAGATAAAAGCCTTTAGATAAAAAAAGCACATTGGAGCTGGCCGGCTTTGGGTTCCCATGTGCGCTTTATCTGGCTATGCAGAGTGATAATGGTCCATGTGGAAGGCTGGGTGTCTACGGGGGGGTTTCCATTGGGGGGGGGTGTCCATGGTGGAGGGGGTGTCCATGGGGGAGGGGGGTGTCCAAGGGAGGGTGACCATAGGGGGGTGTCCATTGCGGTGGGGGGGGGAGTGGTGTCCATGGGTGTCTCCAGCTCTCTTACAGAACGAGTGCTGCTGTGACTGTTGGGCATCCACTAGGTAGGTGTTTGGTGCCTGTGCCTCCGCCCCCTTAGCCGCTTCTGCTGGTGGGACATGCTGACGACATACAGTGTCAGAATATGGAGGGAGGGACTTGATCAGTCTGATGAGTGGCAGCATTGCTCAGCCAATCAAAATGGCAAGTGGAACTGCTTAGTGTTGGTGCTAGGCAGCCCACTACAATTCACACGGGGGGGCATATGCACAGTTGGCCTGGGTCTGTCATCCATTAAAGTACTCTGATCAGTAAAGTAAGCATCATGACTGTGCTGCTCAGTAAAATGAGCATCATGACTGTGCTGCTCAGTAAAATGAGCATCATGACTGTGCTGCTCAGTAAAATAAGCATCATGACTGTGCTCTGTGCTACTAGGCCCCTAGCTGGGCACCAGTTATCAGAATTGAAGGGCATTGTAAAGATGGGCGATACCACTGATTATCTTTTCAGTCTTATACTAACCGATACCTAGGTTGGTTTCCCAATACCAAAACCGGTATTAGGTGCTGGTCCAGGCTATTCTGGGTCTGACCGCTACTTGGTAGTAGTCCCTATAATGTCAGCATCTAAATTGCCAGGTCAAAATATTTATACTTTAGTGTTAGAATCGATTCTCAAAATGAAATGTTCAGATCGAAAGAATTGATAATTTGGTATGCTGTTGTCAGACCACCTATTGGGGGGGGGGGGGGCAATAAGCATTCACAGACTGGCTGCCTGGAACATGTGTGAATGCTGCTTCTTGGTGACTGGGCTGGCCTACAGTCTTCTGATGGTATACGTGCTGCATTCCCAGTCCAGGTGGAGACCAGCTTTAGTGAGAGGATTAGCCTGGATTTCCCCATGATAATACAGGATGTGTCCCTTAATGATGGAGCCTCTTCGGAGCGTGGCCCCTGATAGAGGGTCTACGGAGCGTGGCCCCCGACAGAGGGTCTACGGAGCGTGGCTCCCGGCAGAGGGTCTTCGGAGCGTGGCCCCCGGCAGAGGGTCTACGGAGCGTGGCCCCCGACAGAGGGTCTACGGAGCGTGGCCCCCGACAGAGGGTCTTAGGAGCGTGGCCCCCGGCAGAGGGTCTACGGAGCGTGGCCCCCGACAGAGGGTCAACTGAGCGTGGCCCCCGACAGAGGGTCTACGGAGCGTGGCCCCCGGCAGAGGGTCTTCGGAGCGTGGCCCCCGGCAGAGGGTCCACGGAGCGTGGCCCCCGACAGAGGGTCTTCGGAGCGTGGCCCCCGACAGAGGGTCTACGGAGCGTGGCCCCTGCGTGGCCCCCGGCAGAGGGTCTACGGAGCGTGGCCCCCGACAGAGGGTCTACGGAGCGTGGCCCCTGACAGAGGGTCGGGGAGGGATCCTGGATCCTTCCACACACTGTTTTTGTCTAACTGGATTTTTT